AGACTGACAAACAGACAAGCACTTCTGTGCCAGAAGTTTAGCTTTATTTTTGTAAAAGTGACAGTCTCATCAAATGCATTTTGTTTGCACTAAACATGGGATGTTTGCTTGTTTGTGTTTTAAAAAAAAAACAGTTTTATCAGGGTAGATTTATAAATTAACCATGGCAGTGGTATTTATATGGAAGTGATTTCCGTCACATTTATTGAGGAGCATATTGTGATTTTTAAGGTAATTGACGCACTGAGCTATAGTTTCAGATGTTACCCATCATGGTGAAGTTGAAAAAGAATTCGATACAAACCATAAGCCCAGATCGTCGGCCTTTGCATTGAATATAAAGTTTGAGGTATGATTATGAATTAAAATTCTTTAGACAGTGTATTAAAGAAGGAAATAAACATTCTAAGAAATATAATAATTCTGCAGGCAGTATCGCATTGTAAACACAGGTATATTTTTGCGTAGTCTGTGGCTCTGAACCTCTGTTAGAATGCACACTTTTAAACTTTCTTTCAATTTCTCTGTGGGATGACTTTTTCTTACTTGTGTCATCCATGCTGACTCATTCGCTAATTATTTTGTGTCACCAGCATAGCAAACCTCTCCCTTAAGGCAGGGAAATATTGAGTAATTGCTCTGCACTGTTAAGCAGTTGTTTGGACCTGTCTTTCCAGAAACAAACGTGTAAACCAGTCTCAAACGAATACTTCACAGACGATTTTATATTCAGAGTTTTTTAGGAGCTTAGAATGGGGGACTAGGCCTGACTTATTTTAACTAATAAAAACTGTATAACCTGCCACTTTACTTTGCAAGCTCAGAATATTTAATATTTTAGTCTTTGGTGGCCAAACCTGACGTGATGTCAAATTGACACACAGTAAGATATGCAAGTCTAGGGAAAACAGATACACAAGTGCCTTGCAAAAGGATTCAGGCTCCTCTAAATGTCTCATATTGTGAAATGACATATATATTTTTATAAACTTAATATTTTATTTGAAATCTGAATGCCCAAGCTGAAGACTTTCAATGGTAAGATAAGTGACAGTAGAACTGAAGATAACTCAGCAAAGACTAAAGAGA